ATAGTGTCAGATTCGGTGCTGGTAGGTGAGCCCCTCTGGTTGGAAGGCACTCGAGAGAAGACTGAGGGTGAGCTGCCTTCTCACAGCAGGGTCTACCAGCATGCCGTGGCTGGAGTAAGGCCTTCAGGACCTTCAGTTACTGTTGGGGCATGGCTCAAAATGGGAAGAAAAAGCTGCAAACAAAAATTAATAATTGGAACTTGGAAGATACAAAATATGAATCTTGGAAAATTGGAAGTTGTCAGAATGGAATGGAATATGCATGTCAATAACCTAGGCATTAGTGCACCGAAATAGACTAGTGCGCTGAATTAGTCATTTTAAATCAGAGAGTCACATGGTTAACTATGCCAGGAATGACCGATTCAGAAGGAATGGTGTCTCATGTATCGTCAAAAAGGATCATTTGAGATCTATCTTAATGTAGAGTGTTGCATGTGGTAGACTAATCTTTATCCACATACAAGGAAATCCAGTCAATACAACTATGGTTTGTCTTGATTTATGTATCAATCACTAAAGCTAGTAATAAAATAACTGAAGAATTCTATTAATTTCTTCAGTCAGAAATTAATCAAACATGCAATCAAGATGCGTTAATAATCATGGGTGATTGGCATGTAAAAGTTGGAAACGAAGAGGAAGGAGCATTAGTTGGAAAATATGGTCTTGGTAATAGAGACAAAACTGGAGATTGCCTGATAGAATTTTGCACAACAAATGGCTTGTTCATAGCAATACATAGTGACTATATGTTTGGGCTTCTCCAGATGGAATACACAGAAATCAAATTGACTACATCTGTGGAAAGAGATGATGGAGCTAAAATAAGGCCGGGTGTCAACTATGGAACAGACCATCAATTGCTCATATGTTCTTTCAGGAGAAAATAAAAACAAGTCCATGAGAGCTCAAATAAGACCCTGAGCCCACCTGAATTTTGAGAACATCTCAAGAGGAGATCTGACACGTTGCACTCTAATGACAGGAGACTTGATGAGCTGTGGGAGGACATCAAGAACGTCATACATGAAAGCAAAAGGTCATTAAAAAGGCAGGAAAGAAAAGATCAAAATGAATGTCAGAAAAGACTCTGAAACCTGCTCTTAGTTGTAGAATGCCAAACCAAAACAAAAACCCCTCACCGCCATCGAGTGGATTCTGATTTGCAGTGACCCTTATAGGGCAAGCTGTCTCAGTAACTCTTTACAGGAGTAGAAAGCCTCATTTTTCACCTATGAAGTGGCTGGTAGTTTCAAACTGCTGACCTTGTGGTTAGCAGACCAATGTGGAACCACCATGCCAGCAGGGCCCCTTAGCTAAGATTAGTGGAAGAAATGATGAAGTTGAACAACCTGAACAGAAAATTTCAAAGGGAAGCTCAAGAAACCAAAGTTCAGCATATCTTCATCTGAAAAAATTGAAGAGAAAGCTTCAAGTTGCAATATCAAACGATTCTACGGGTAAAATACTGAGCGATGCAAGATGCCTCAAAAGAAGATGGAAAGATTACAGTGTCACTGTGCCAAAAAGAACTAGTTGACATCCCACCATTTCAGGAGGTAGCACGTGATCAAGAACCAATGGTACTGAAGGAAGAAGTTCAAGCTGCACTGAAGGCATTAGCCAAAAACAAGAAGACAGGAATTGACAGAATGCCAATTGAACTGTTTCAACTAGCAAATGAAACACTGGAAGCACTCATGCGCTTTCAGTCTATACCAGTCTATACTTGTCTATACCTAGAATTTAGAAGACAGCTTCTTGGCCAACTGACTAGAAGAGATCCATATTTGTACCCATTCTAAAAAAAGGTGACCCAACAGAATGGACAATATCACTGATAGCACATGCAAGTAAAGTTTTAATGAAGATCATCCAACCACCATTGCAGCAGTACATTGACATGTGACTACCAGAGGTTAAAGCAGGATTCAGAAGAGGACGTGGAACAAGAGATATCATTGCTGATGTCACATGGATCTTGGCTGAAAGCAAAGCCTATCATAATCAAATGTACCCAATAAGAATAATGCAACACACAAACAAATCAGGCCAATCTACTGCCTCTGAGTTGGTTTCAACTCACGGCAGCCCTATAGGACAGAGGCAAACTGCTCTATAAGCTTTTATTTTGGGGGGGAGGGGGGAATGGAAATCTTCATAAGAGCAAGCAACCTCATTTTTCTTCCCA